CCATGCCACATTCAGGTTGGTCTTCCTTCTCTTGCAGTTTTCCAAGATCATTTTGGCTATTAGGAGTTGATCTTTTGTTCCTCTGCTATTGGGGCGGTTTCCTTTCTGCTCAGGTGGAAAGAGATTGTTTTCAACTAGATGCTGTTGTACTGCATCAGTTACCACACCAGTTAGTAATTTGAAAGTTGTTGGTAAGCAAGTAATTGGCCTGTAGTTGCCTGGTGTTGCCCCTTTTGCTGGATTTTTCATTATTAGGTAGGTTTTCCCAGTTGTTAGCCACTTTTCAATTTCTCCTCCTTGTAGTATATTGTTGAACTGCTTGGCAATGAGTGGGTGTATAACAGTTAGATGTTTCAACCAAAACCCATGCAGTTCATCTTCACCTGGTGCTGACCAATTTTTGATTTTCTTTGCTCTTTTTTCTACCATTTTTGTTGTTATTACTAGTTCTTTCATTTCAACTTCTGTTTTATTTGCATCCACCTCTTTTAACCAAGCTGCATCCTTGTTGTATTTCTTTGGGTTATCCCATATCTGCTTCCAGAATTGCACTGTTTCTTCCTTGTCAGGTACTGACTGATTCCTTGCAGTTTCTCCATTGATGGATTGGTAGAAACGTTTCTGATTGGATTGAAATTGGAGGTTCTGCCTATAGTTTGCAATTCGAGCTTCATATCTACTGATTTTCCTGGCTATAGCTGTTATTTGTTGCTTTATTATTTCCAGTGCTGCTATTATTATTATTATTATTATTATTATTATTATTATTATTATTATTCTGTTTTCTATTTTCTATGCTATATTCTATTCTGTTCTGTTCTATTCTATTCTATACTCTTATTCTATTCTATTCTATATTCTATATATTCTATATTCTATTCTGTTCTATTCTGTTCCTATTCCTATTCTACGTGTAAGCCAGGATTTGGGGTTTGATATGTGATGGGATCTTGGTTGGGGAGTGTGAACTAGGATTTATAGATTTTGGCTGTGGCATGTCCTCCAAGTTTGTTTCAATATAGTTTCTGAATGTTTCGCTGCCAAACTAGATAACATCACCAGCAGGATTTAATTGTACTATCCTCCTTAACTCATAAGCATCTCGTGTGCCAGTGTGGTCAGTTGTTTGGAGCTATATGACCACATCCCTTAAAAATTTTGGTTATGAGGCTGGGCCTTGTTGTCACACAGAACGACGCTGCTCTGAGGTTGAATGGTGAATCTCGAACTCTTCTGGGTGACTGGGCTCCGAAATGTAACATTGCCAGATTTGAGGAAATGACTTTTTCTGTCCTTGATTTCTTAGTATGCAGCAATGGCTGCGGAAGAGATGGAAGTCCCTTTGGATCCTTTGTCCCAGGATGCTAGCACACAACGCTGGATCAAAGAGGAACCGGCTGAGGAGACGCACAACTGCTGGAGTCCCCTGGGACTTATCAAAGTGGAGCAGGGTTTTCTCCTGCCCCATGAATGCCCACAAACAGAGAGAGATGTTGCGAACTCTCTCGTTGGGGAACCGCCTGCTGGTGGTCAGTGGTCTTCAAGAGAGCAAAGGATGCTGGTTCTGCCCAGCCCCCCAAGAGAGATCCAGCTGGCGTCTCCTGATCCCAGGTCTGCAACATCGCAGGTGCACGAGAGCCTTGGATCCTATGGAGCATCCAGGCCGGTGAAGGAGGAGGTCCTCAGCCCGGAAGGACAGCGCCAGCTTTTCCGCGGATTCCTCTTCCACGAGGCCAAGGAACCGAAAGAGGTTTACCAGCGACTCTCCGGACTTTGCAGGCGTTGGTTGCAGCCCAAGAGGAGCACCAAGGAGCAGATGCTGGAGCTGGTGGTGCTGGAGCAGTTTGTGGCCATTCTGCCCCCGGGGCTCCAGGGCTGGGTGAGAAGCGGTGAGCCGGACACCTGCCTCCAAGCGGTGGCCTTAGCCGAGGAGTTCTTACGGAGGCCGGAGCAGGTGAGGACATCAGGCTGCCTTTGAGGGGGGGGGGTTTGAAGGAGTAGGGAGGTCAGCCTCGGGATGCAGATCTCGTATTGAATGCCGAGGGTCCTGGGTTCAGCCCCTGGCAGGCAGGCAGGGGAAAGAAAAGAATCCGGGTGCCGGGTGGGTGTGGCCCATTGGCTGGGTGTGGCCCATTGGCTGGGCGTGGCTGCGGTGGTAACGGCAGACTGGGTGGGACTAAAAAGTTCAATCAATCAATGCCAACTTTGCAAGATCTTTTTTTTTCCCCACGAGAAGTTAAAATTGATTGATTGAACCTTTTTTTTTTTTTTTTTTGCACACGGCGGCAGAGGCCTAAAGCGAAAAGGTTTTATAAAACCCAGCTGAAGGCCTAGGACTGGGGCGACGGGGCGCGTGCCCACAGAGAGGGCTCTGAGTGCCGCCTCTGGTACCCGTGCCATAGGTTCGCCACCACTGGAGTATGGTCTACTCCTGCTTCCCATGCTCCTAGTCCTCTTGAGGTTTGGGTTCCTGTTATTTTGTGTGAATTCCATTTACCTGTAAACCACAGGTTCTCTGTTTAACCCTGGCCTGCCACTGAGAAGCTCTATCCTTAGTATAGGCAATCCTTGACTTACGACCACAGTATTCCTGTTAGTGAGCTAAGACAGCTGTTTTGACCCATTTTACGACCTTTCTTGTCACGCTTGTTAAGTGAATCCCTGCGGTGGTTAAGTTAGTAACACGGCTGTTAAGTGAATCTGGCTTCCCCATAGACGTGGCTTGACTGAAGGTTAGTAAAGGAGATCAGGGGACACCAGGACACTGCGACCGTCATAAATATGAGTCAATTGCCAAGGGTCTGAATTTTAGTGACCACGGGGGGGAATGCTGCAACGGTCGTTGAGTATGAAAAATGGTCATACGTCCCTTTTTTCAGTACCGTTGTAACTTCGAACAGTCACTGAATGAACTGTTGTAAGTTGAGGACCACCTGTATGCCGTACAGAGACCAAGGAGACTTGGCAAAAATGGTGCACCTGACAGGCAATGCATCTTTCCTCCTTTCCTTACTAAGGGATAAAGCCTGCATCCTTCCCATCAGTTTTAAGAGGTGGGCCAGACAGGAAGCGCCACCCGGATAAACTAACCCTACTTTATTTTAAACCTACATGAATAAAAAATTTTCAAGACTGAAAGTACAATTTTTGTGCCATCTCCTTTATAGCCGTCCCCCAAGGTCAGAGGTAGGCCACCTCGGCTCTTTTATGACTCGTGGACTTCAACTCCCAGAATTCCCGAGCCAGGCTGGCTCAGTTTGGAAACCTCTCTTCCCCTCAGCGTGGCTGGCTCAGGAATTCTGGGAGTTGAAGTCCACGAGTCATGAAGGGGCCATAGTTCCCCCATGCTGGCTCAGGAATTCTGGGAGTTGAAGTCCACGAGTCATAAAAGAGCTAAGGTTGCCTACCTCTGCGCCAAGGTCATTTCCAAATAGTGTTGCACTTCTGAATACAATATGGCAACGATCCCCAACCTTTGTGGCTTGGTGGCCTGGCTGGGGGGGGGAGTGGAGAAGAGAACTGGGCCATGCAAGCAGCGGGCCGGTGCACACACACATGCACACATAGTTCGACTGCAAGTTGAGCTACATGGGCACGCGCACCTGCACACTGGCCTGCCTCTCTTTTGGCCCAGTTCTGAATAGACCATGGCTTGGGGTTTAGGAACCCCTGCAATATGGGCTGGACCAGGGGTAGGCAACCTTGGCTCTTTTATGACTCGTGGACTTCAACTCCCAGAATTCCTGAGCCAGCATGGCTCAGCTTGGAAACTTCTCCCTTTCCCCTCAGCATGGCCGGCTCAGGAATTCTGGGAGTTGAAGTCCACAAGTCATAAAAGAGCCAAGGTTGCCTACCCCTGGGCTGGACTTTTGGCTGGGTCAAGAGATGCCTTTTGGACACAGCCACAGCTTGGCTCTGGGGAGATCCTATGATCTGATCATAAATTAGGACTGAAGCTGGAAAGCTTATAACAGCCTCCCTGCTTATCCTTCTACCCCCGTCCCTTTCCAGAAGCTGTTCTCTGAAGTATCCAGTAACCTTGCAGAAGGGCCAAGTGACCTGCTGGATACCAGTCCGCAACAATTGTACAACCAGCCCACACAAGAGGATACCATGGACGTTGGCATTATGGGTGAGACTTTGTTTTTTGCACTGTTCACATTCTTTTTTATATAAGATTTTTATTGATTTTTTTCATACATTCAATACCACTTGTTCAACAAACGTGCTGTATGAGTTTACATTCACTAATACAAATTTAATTCCTAATCCTTTATTCTTTCCTCTAGCCATTGATAAAATAAGTCCCACGTTTGATAATATTCCGTTTCTTCTTTTTCTTTCAACCTCAAAGTCGGTCTATCCATCTCCGTACATTCTAGTATTTTTTTTTTTAGTTATTTCTTCCTCTGATGGTACTTCTTCATTTTTCCAATACTGTGAGAATATAACTCTTGCCGCTGTTTTACATGTAAAATCAAATATATGCTTTGTTTATCAGTTTTTTCTGGCATTATACCTAATAAAAAAAAGTTCAGGTTTAAAATCTACATATTTTCCCAACATCTTTTCTAGCCACGTATGTATTTTTTTCCAATAACTCTTTGCTTTGGCACATGTCCACCAAACATGGTAATAAGCACCTGACTTACGTTTGCGTTTCCAACATCTGTCTGACATGTTTTTAAACATTTTTGCTAATCTTGCTGGCAGTTTTCTTTCTTTATTAGTCATATCTCTGTGCCACCAGCATCCATGGCTGTTCTTTGCAAACAGCTGTACACAGGCACTGTGATGTCCCACTTTTTCATCTCTAGGACAGTTCTGCAGTCTTACAAATTACAGGTACAGGTAATCCTCGAGTTACGAATGTAATGGAGCCTGCCAATTACATTTGTAACCCGAGGATTTGTAGGAGTGAATCATGTAAATTGAGGAAAGGCTTTTGCTGCCGTGAACAGAGGCCCAGAGGGACGCCCGTGCCCCTCCCGGCCTCCGTTCTTGGTGGCGAAGCCTTTTTTGCAAAGATGGCAAAAGGCTCTGCAAATGGAGGCAAGGCTTTGGTGCTTCAGGCCTTCCCTCTTTTGCTGCAAATCTCATCCAGGCCTCCGTTTGCACAGAACAGTGGCCTAAAGTACCGTGAGATCAGACGAGATCAGTAGCATGAGGTCTCGCGCTACTGATCTCGTCTGATCTCGCGGTACTTTAGGCCTCTGTTCCATGCGAACGCACTGAAGGCCAAGAAATGGAAGGTTTGCAAGGTGCGTTTGACAGGCTCGGTGCCTGTCGCTAAGTGAACCTTCGCAACTCGAGGATTGCCTGTAGTCCTTGACTTAAGATGGTAATTGCGCCTGGAATGACAGTCGTAGTCACGGCATTCGTTAAGCGACAGTTGGGCCTGTCAGACTGGCCACAGCCCGCTCCCTGAGAAAGAACGGCCCCTGACTCCATAGGACGGTGTTAGAGAAAAGGTACTTTTACTAGAGATGGTGAGTGCAGGGTGAGTGGGGCAAGTTCTGAAGAAAAACCGGGCGAACGTCATATATTGAAAGCGATTCCCAATGTCCAAAACCCTCCCCCCTGTGGAAATCGTCCAATCAAGCTCTGTTCCGATGTTATGGGAAACCGGGGCCTCAGACGCCGCCGTCCGTTCCTTTCCCAGGGCCAGCTTCCTTGAAGGCAGGCAGATGGCTCGGTTCAATATCCGGTCTGGTTCCCGTTAGTGTCCGTACTCCCCCAAATTCCCACAGCGTCCTTTCACACCTCGAGCACTCCTCCTTCTCCTCTCCCAAATGCGCCTTCCCCCTTGGTGATGGCAGTCGCTAGCGAGCTCAAAGAAAGCAACAATGGACATCTGACAGGGCCCAGTTTTATGACCTCTTTTGGCGGTTGTTAAGCAAATCCATTGTCCACAGTGGGTGTCTTTTGCCATAAACTGGAAATAAACACTGGTTTCCAGCAAAAAAAACCCACCAAATATTGTAAATTGTGGTCAGGTGACTGCAGGACACAGCAAATGTGACTGTGGGGAGGAGGGGGGGAGCCATTGAAAGTTTATGTTGGGTTGCAAGTAATCCTGGGGAGGACCATCGTAACTTCAAATCGTCATTAAGCGACTGATCTTAAATCAAGGACTTCCTCTAAACCAGTGGCTCCCAACCTTGTCTATACCCCGCACCCCTAGAACGCTTCTGATATATTCTCGCACCCTTTACAAAAGTTGGAAATAACAGCAATTATGCATATACACTATAATTTTGAAAAACCCAAGTTTTCGCGCCCCCTGGAATATAGTCTCACGCCCCCGGTTGGGAACCCCTGTGTCAACGCTGTTAATATAGGATATTATTGCTTTGACAAGATATACAGAACTGTCTGGTATTTTTAGAGTTAATTCAGATGACAGAGTGAGGGAGGAGATTCATAAGGAAAGCCCGGGAAAAAGGAACGGAAGTGAATCTTTGCCCTCCGGGCTAATTGGAAGATGTGACTTATGACTGCAAAATAAGGGAGGGGTTTAGAAAGAAAAGCTAGACGCAAGCAAGAGATTCTGGCATACATCCATGATGTGCCGTCGATTTGTTACACTGTTAATAAAGACTTTAGGATAAACATGCCTGGAAGTTCTTTGAAGTGTTTCATTAGTCGGAACCATGACACCCTGCTGTAAACAATTCAGCAATTAGTCTTGTCTTCTCAATTTCTTGCTGTTATTGTTATCATTTTTTTGCTTTCCGAGTGTGATGCTTTGTTGTATATTTCCAGCTGGGTGCCTTCAGGATGTGGGAGAAAGGAACCCATGCGTGGAACTGGCTGATCCCGTCGAACACCAAGGACTGGATGCTGAAAACCCTTCCTCGTGTCAGCCCAGCGGAGAGATTTCCGTAAATCAGCCTGAAACGAAGCAACAAGAAGGCGACGCCGTTCCTTCTTGGAGAAATGATTCCTGTAAAAGAAAAGACGGAGTCCGCAGGGGCAAAGAACCCAATTTACATCCTCTGGATGGGAAGTCCTTGAGCTGGATCCCAGATTCTATTTCCCCAAAAAGAAAGCAGCCAGGAAAAAAAGGACACAAAGGTTTGGGGTATATTTTGAGATCCAGCCTCGTAACTCACAGAGGCCTCATCCAGACGACTGGAAAACTCCATTCCTGCTCGTATGGCGGTCAAAAAGGTGGTGAGAGCTCGGGCTTTGGTCTTCCTTTCAAAAGCCACTCCAGAGAGAAGCCTTACAGATGCTCCGAGTGCGGGAAACGCTTCCAACACCCCAGCGGTTTCAACAGTCACCTCAGAAGCCATAGGGAAGAAAAGCTGCCTCAGGACGTGTGCAAGGGGAAGAGCATCAGTACCCACTCGGACCCGCGCAGGGCTGGTCTATCCCCAGCTGCCGAAAAATGTGGGACATCGTTCTGCCAGAACTCCCAGCTCCTGGCCCACCAGAGGGTGCGCTCGGGTGAGCAGCCCTTCCGGTGCTTTGAGTGTGGGAAGATCTTCAGCTCAAGCGCGCACCTCAACGGGCACCAGTGTGTCCACATGCATGTGAAAGCCTTGATCTGTTCCGATTGTGGAAAGACCTTCAGTGGGAAGTCACATCTCAGCCGGCACCAACGGATCCACACCGGAGAGAATCTGTTTAAATGCCCGGAATGTGGCAAAAACTTTTGTGTTACTTCGGACCTCGCTGCGCACATGCGAATCCACACCGGCCACAAACCCTACAAATGCCTAGACTGTGGGAAGAGTTTCACCCAGAAGCAGCACCTGACCAGCCACCGGCGGACTCACACGGGCGAAAAACCCTACGTGTGTGCGCACTGCGGCAAAGGCTTCAGTGTGAGCTCCAACCTCAACACCCACGAGCGGACCCACACGGGAGTCAGGCCTTTTCAGTGCTCCGAATGTGAGAAACGCTTCAAACAAAAATCACATCTCATCGTCCACCAGAGACACCACACAGGGGAGAGGCCTTATTTGTGTGTTGATTGTGGGAAAGGTTTCGGATCCAGCTCAAATCTTGTGGCCCACATGTGGACCCACATTGGAGACAAAGTTTAGATACCCTCTGATAATTTGATGGGAGAGAAAAATGCAAAGCTCATCTGTCTCTTACTCTCTTCAGTTCAATATTTATCTGCAGAGTTTCAACTTTAGCTTGACACATTGATACAGATATCAATGTGAGTGAAAGTTAAGGAACTGTAAAAAAAAAAAACAACTTTGCATGTAGGAGAGATTGGTGTTTTGTATAGAAATATTTGTATTAAAAGACCTGTAAAATTTGTCAAGCTAAAGTATTAGAAATCAGCGTAGATTGCTTACCTGAAAACCATGTTTTATTAACAATAAAACATCATTGTACTAGTTTAGAGAAGTGTAGATTTGTTTGAAATGTTCCTTTTCCCATCTCTCCAACAACTTCACCACTCATTTTGGTCACAGATGTGCTCCTAAATTGTACTACCCTGGAAAATGGATTCATTCAATAGAATCCTATATAAGCGGGTGGAGAAACAATATTTTGAGGAAGTTTTATCCTTTTTTTTATTGCTCCATTCCTCTTCATTTTTTCCCTAAGAGGATATGCTTGAATGACTCTTCTTATTCCACTCTTTTCAGAGAGTCAAACACATTCTGTGTCTTTTTTCACACAGCAGGCTAACACCTATTGTGACTGGCTTGGTTTTAAGTTGATGTTAGAGTAACTGTGCGAAATCCAGCCGCTTTAGGTGTAAACCAACATCATGGCTCAATATGTTGTGTGAATCCAGGCAATAATGGTTTATTAGAATAATTGTTGGCTGGGAACTGCCCAAAATTTGATATAAAATGGGCAGCTGTGCAAATAGCCCTCGACTTACAACTGGTTGCTTAAAAACTGTTCAAAATTACAATGGACCTCCCCAGAGCTACTTACGATCCATTTTCGGAGTTATCATGGCTATAACCCACGTCCTGCAGTCCACGATTGCATTTTGCGTGCCTGGCAACTGACACATCTTTATGGCTGTTTGCAGTGTCCCATAGTCAAATAACCATAATTTGCAACATTTTCTGCTGGTTTCTGGTGTTTTATTTCTGGTTTTTGGCAAAAAACCCCAAACCACCCTAGGAGAAAATAGATTTGCACGATAGCCATGACAATTGCTTAACAACTGTCATAAGAATCATAAACAGATTTAATAGTTTAGTAGTTTAACATTCGTTTGGCCTGTTTCACAAGTGGTGGGAAACTAACGTATAATATTAATCAGAACTAGGGAAGACGTGCATATGTGTTAGTCTTTTTTTAAGACACTTTAATGTTTGCTGTGTTTTTTTTCTTCTTTTGTCCACTTTTTAAAAAAATACGTTGGTATTTTCTATTTTAACTTTCGCTGAATAAACTTTGAGGAAAAAACAACTGTTGTAAAAAGTTGTAACTTCAGAGTTAATCCTATAATGCAGACATGTCAAACACAAGGCCCGGGGGGCCGGATGCGGCCCGCGAAGTAGTTTCATGTGGCCTGCGAAGCCATCCTGGAAACAGTGAGGAAATGGCCCCCGCTGCCTTGGCCCTGGCTCAAGCCGGCCAGGAATCAATGTACAATTTTGTGGTGGCCATCTATGCTAAAACACATTCAGTCTTAGCTCCAGAAGGCCATCTGGAAACAGCAAGGAACCAGCCCCTGCCACATCAGCCGCCGGGTGCATGATGGGGAGGTGTCACCCTTTGTGAGGAATGAAGAAATGCACCATCGCCTGGAAGTGGCCAGCAAATGGCCCTCGCGTACTTCACAGATCCGGCTTGATGGGCTCTGCCCTGGTCCCCCCCCCCTTTCTGCCAGAGACCCTCAGATCTGTCCCACTCCTGCCCAGGCCCCCACAGGCCCCCTTGACTCCAATGATGTAGAGCTGGCCATGCCCACCCAGTAGGCCACACCCATTCCATCCACGCCCACCCAGTAGGATGCACCCCCCCTGGCCACCCCCCCTGAGGGCAACCACAATGCTGATGTGGCCCTCAATGAAATTGACTTTGACACCCCTGCTATAATGCCTCAATGTATGACAGTGATGACTTACAACCATAATCCCAGGCTCAGTTCCCATCATACATTGAGGAATACCAGTATAAATGTTTTGAAACAAAATAATCAGTAGATGAAAGTGGACAACCTGAGGAAATTTATGCCTGAATTTAGGTTTCAATCCTGATTCAGTTCTCTATAAAGATATTAAAACCTTGACAACCATCTCAGGGGGCTGAATGGCATTTGAAAAGTTCTACTTTGGCTTTCCTGAAATAAATTTGGATGAAATTTCTTCCAAACGATGGGCAAGGTCTCAAGCACTCAACACTTAACTTTTTGTATAGATATATATTTTATTATCATTTTTCATACTTACAAGAAATGTACGAAGAAGTTACACTTCTTTAATTTTGGCAAAGTGTAAAGAGATTTTTCTTTCCTATTCAAGGGGCATGGCAAGGAGAGTCTGGTTTTAGTTGCATATCGTTCTTCCTTTGCAGAAAGATAAGGCGATATAACGTAATACCGAATCTTCGGGAGCATCCATAAAACTGTCAGTTTTCTGAGTCTCCCTCTTCTACAGCTGCCCCATTCTTGTTCCATACAGCATTTTAGAAACACTTTATTCAAAGTAACGGACGCAAAACAGCCCATCTTAAACTGTGTCCAATGTTCAGGAAAGGTAAACAATTCTAATGGAGAAACAGTCCAGTCTGAACTGCACTTCCTATACTTTTACGGTATTTTTCAGTATTTCTTTGAATTCTCCTTCACAGTCACTTCCTTCCAGCGCCCATTTTGTTCTTAAACAGAGCAATTTGTTTCCATTTCAAATGTCTACTCCAGGGGTAGGCCACCTTGGCTCTTTTAGGACTCGTGGACTTCAAATCCCAGAATTCCTGAGCCAGCCACGCTGAGGGGAAAGGAAGGGGTTTCCATGCTGACCCATGCTGGCTCAGGAATTCTGGGAATTGAAGTCCACGAGTCATAAAAGAGCCAAGGTTGCCTACCCTGGACTCTAAGCAGACCAAAAATTGCCCAGAGATCTATTTCTAGATCTTGATCACCTTTGGCCTATCTTTTTTTCCTATTCCAGGGCTAGGCCACCTTGGCTCTTTTGTGACTCGTGGACTTCAACTCCCAGAATTCCTGAGCCAGCCATGCTGAGGGGAAAGGGAGAGGTTTCCAAGCTGAGCCATGCTGGCTCAGGAATTCTGGGAGTTGAAGTCCACGAGTCATAAAAGAGCCAAGGTGGCCTAGCCCTGGTCTACTTCAAAGGCATTTCAAAATCGCAAGCAATTCCTACTCTTAATTTTCCCTTCCTTTTTACCAATTCCCTCCCCCTCTATTATTTAACATTTTGCTCCCTACGGTGACCTTATTAACAATAGTCATTTCTCTTTGGTTGTTGCCTGGTGGACAGGAGAGGGTGTTGCCGTTACCAAGACATGGCCCACCTTTGCATCTCAAAGGTTTTTAATATCCTAGAAAGGACCAAAAAAAAAAAAAAGGCTTGGTAGTGATGCTACTTACATGTCCCAAGTGGAAGACCTCTTTCCCCATTTATAAAGGAGGAAAGACATTTCCCCAATATATGCCTTGTCTCAAAAAGTCCTTTTCCTAACCATTGTTCCAATTCGTGCCTTCTCTCTCTCTCTCTCGAAACCATCACAACGCAACTCCGAATTCGTAAGCTTTGTCTAGGCCTGGGAGAAACGTTTATATAAAGGGACCTGTCTTAAGATTTCCCCAGATGTCACCCACAGTGATGATTCCTTGCCCCTTTTTTGAAACCAAAATTCTAAGACAGAACAGAGCTGGAAGGGACCCTTGGAGGTCTTCTAGACCAGCCCCCTGCTCAAGCAGGAGAACCTATACCAGTGATGGCGGACCTTTTAGAGACCGAGTGCCTGAACTGCAACCCAAAACCCATTTATGTATCGCCAAGTACCCCACTGGGTAGGCGTGGCTGTGGTGGTCATGGCAGACTGGGTGGGTGTGGCCAAGGTGGGCATGGTCACCTCGATGTTGCTCGTGGGGAGGGATGCCTGTGGGGGCCGGGCAGGGTTGGGGGAGATCCAGGGGGTTTCTGGCAGGTGGGGTGGTGGGCAGGAGGCTCGTGCTGCGGGGTGAGGCGAGGCGAGGCAAGGCAGGGGTGCCACTGTCACAGGGCAAGGTGAGGCAGGGCCTGGGGTGGCTGCTGCCTGACACCATCAGCCCCCGCACACAGAGGCCAGCAAGCGCATGGGGGCCGACAGTGTCCGTCAGCAGCCACAGCCTGCCGGCCCCTCGACCGGCGCACTCTGGGGGTCCACAGCCCGCCACCAGTTCAGAGAAGTGCCCACAGAGAGGGCTCTGAGTGCCGCCTCTGGCACACCTGCCATAGGTTCGCCACCACTGACCTATATCATTTCAGACAAGAGACTATCTAGTCTCTTTCTTAAAAATATCCATTGATGGAACATCCACGATTTCTGAAGGCAAAGCTCTTCCACTGGTTAGTTGTCCTCATTGTCAGGAAGTTTCTCCTTAGTTCCAGGTTGCTTCTCTCCTTGATCAGTTTCCAACCATTGTTTCTTGTCCTGCCCTCTGGTGCTTTGGTGAATAATGTGATTCCTCTCTTCTTTGTGGCAGCCCCTCAAATACTGGAATCACCCCTATTTCTTCTTTTCTTTAGATTAGCCCAGGGGTAGGCAACCTTGGCTCTTTTATGACGCGTGGACTTCAACTCCCAGAATTCCTGAGCCAGCCATGCTGAGGGGAAAGGGAGAGGTTTCCAAGCTGAGCCATGGCTGGCTCAGGAATTCTGGGAGTTGAAGTCCACGAGTCATAAAAGAGCCAAGGTTGCCTACCCCTGGACCAGCCAAACCCAAGTCCTGCAGCAGTTCTTCATATGTTTTGGTCTCCGGGCTTTTGATCATCTTAGTTGCTCTTCTCTGAATTTTTTTCCAAAGTCTCAACATCTTTTTTGTAGCATGGTGACCAAAACTGGTTGCGGTATTGGTTGATGTGACATCCTGCAGGGGTTACAAGAGAACCAGGCCTAGACAAAGCTCACTATCTCTTATTGGACGGTGCCTTTGTGACATCACATCTGGGTGTGTCCAGCCCCCACACGATTTCTCTCTGTATATGTGCCTTAAGATTTCACCACTTCCAATTAAAACCCGGCATTTTTGGCTGCCTCCATTTTATAGGAACAAAAGAGGATATTACATGGCTGAACTCCACCCCACCCCTACCCCTATCCCCCCCAAAATACAAGAATACGTTGTTTGCTAAGACTTATTTTCTGTTCTTTGGGAGGCAGTGAACACAGAAGGCTGGATGATCATGTCAAAACGCACAAAATCAAGAATTTCGCCTCCTTGCTTATGAAAGCAGCTTGGTGACCTACACACATTTCCAGAAGATAAGCAGGAACCGGGGTTGGGGCGGTCTTCTTCAATTAGCCCCAAGTCACTCATCTCGCAACCATTTTCTTAACTGCAGAGTCCAGGTGGTGTTGGTTGGCTCAACAGGACTCTGATTTCGTTAATGTATTGAAAAATAAATAATTTTGGGGAAAACACTCAAGAGGCTGAAAACCTTCAGCTGGTCAGTGGGCTGGTGTTTAAACCAAAGACCATTTTAAAAATCCAGTTTCTTGCGCTCTGCACCAATTCTAAGACATCTGGCCAAAAACACTAGGCCTTGTGGCACCTGAAAATCCACCAAGAACCGCCAACGATTTGTGGCTTTTCTCCTGGGCTGATCCTACCACCTTCTATAGAGGAGCTTAGGAAGTCCCATGCTTCCATTTTTCAAACTTGTGAAAAAAGAAATCTCCTCAGAGCTTGGGATAAGAATGTCTCCGTGAAGATGACCCAAACTGAATCCATTTTTTTAAATAACAAAAGGCGGCAGATAGACTTGGTCAACCTACGATCTAGAGAGTGATGCTAGTCAGAAGGAATCAAGGCTAGGCTCCAGCCCCCCCCATCTTTGATGTGATTTAAACCACCACCCACCATCTTTGCACATATGGAGAACGCTGGATTGCCTCTCTTTAAGATAAACAAAGACGAACGAAAATTTCTAGCTTGCAGAAGAGACTCCCAAGATCAACGCAGGGTGGTGATTATGGAGGCAGAGCAGGACAATGGGGATCCAGCTAGTCTTGAAAACTCGGAAGGCCCTTGAAGGCCCTGGACTTTCTCTCAGTTGAACCTTCCTGGCAGAGTCATCGTTTGTGGAGATAAAATAAAAAGAAATCCCTTCACAGGCCTGAAGAAAAAGTCGGAGATTAGTCTAATTAAAAGAAACTCATCTGGAGTGACTACTTAACGGACGTGACCTGGAAGCTTTTGTCAAGAGATGGCTTGGCTGGTGGTCCTTAAGAATCATTCTGAAGCCGGCTGACGGATGCAGAACAACATTCTCTGGCCACTCTTAGCTCCTCAGTTTAGAAACAGTACTGAGTTCAAATTCTGAGTAAAGGCTTCCAAATACATGGGAGAATCGCCCTCCCCCCGGGAGACTTTCTCCATTCCTCTGCCTTGACATGATTCATCTCTTCCACTGATGCTCGGATAAGCAGCAAATTCTCGTGTCGTGACAGCAAAACGGCAATGTGGCCTTCTGTTGTAGTGTAGTCTCCCCAACGGACACTTGGCTAATACAATGCAATGGTCCATAACATTGTTTCTCGACCTTGGGGATTTTAAGATGCACGAACTTCAACTCCCAGAATTCCCCAAGGTTGGGAAACACTGGTCCATAACCTCTTATCAACAGCTCGTTCAGGGTTTTAGGTGTGGATTCTCTGGTGTTTAATCAGATTCTCGTGCGAACAGAAGCTTTTCCCGCAGTCCGAACATTTGTAGGGGTTCTCCCCCGAGTGAATCCTCTGATGCCGTATAAGATTGGAGCTCTGGCTGAACCCTTTCCCACAGTCCAAGCACTTGTACGGCCTCTCCCCTGTGTGGCTTCTCTGATGGATGATGAGTTGCGATTTGGTGACAAACGATTTCCCGCAATCCAAGCACTGGAAGGGATTTCCTTTCATGTGGATCCTCTGGTGCTTCAACAGCTTCATGTGGGAATTGAAACTCTCCTCGCATTCGGAGCACTGGAACATCTTCACGCGGCGGTGCGTCTTCTGATGGACCGTCAGGTGCGAACTCTGGCTGAAGCATTTCCCACACACCAGGCATTTATAGGGTCTCTCGCCGGTGTGGATCCTCTGATGGATGATCAGGTAGGACTTGGAAATAAACGTTTTCCCGCAATCCAGGCATTTATTGCTATTGCTGTTGTTGTTACTACTATTGGTATTGCTGTTGCTCGTCGGGCTGGCATAAGACTTTTTGGCCACGTGCATGGTTTTGTGGGCCAGGAGCTGGGAACTCACACGGAAACTTTTCCCGCATTCGGAACACTGGAACGGCTTCTTCCCCAAGTGCGTCCTTTTGTGAACGTTCAGGTGGGAACTCTGACTAAAACTTTTCCCGCACGCCAGACACTTGAACGGTCGCTCACCCGTGTGCATCCGTTCGTGGATGATCAGATACGACTTGAAGACGAAGGACTTGTGGCAGTACGAGCACTTGTGCGGCTTCTTGGTTTCGTGGATTTTCTTGTGCGCAAGCAGGTGCGAACTCACCTTGAAGCTTTTCCCACAGTCCGAGCACTGGAACGGGTTCTTGCCCGTGTGGGTGCGCTCGTGCACCGTCAGGTTGGAGCTCTGCGTGAAGCTCTTGCCACAAGCCAAGCATTTGTAGGGCCGCTCCCCGGTGTGGATCCTCTGGTGGATGATGAGGTAGGACTTGGCGAAGAACGACTTCCCGCAATAGGAGCACTTGTGGGGCTTTTTGGCGGCGTGCATCCGCTTATGCGCAATCAGGTGGGAATGCACCTTAAAGCTTTTCCCACAGTCGGAGCAGATGTACAGGTTTTCCCCTGTGTGGATCCTCTGATGCTTGAGCAGGTTGGTGCTCGAGCTGAAACTCTGCCCGCAGTGAGAACACGGGAACGGCTTCACCCCGGTGTGGGTGCGCTTGTGGACGTTCAGGTGGGAGCTTTGGCTGAAACATTTCCCGCACGTCAAGCACTTGAACGGCCTCTCCCCGGTGTGGATCCTCTGGTGGATGATGAAGTAGGATTTGGTAAAGAAAGCTTTTCCGCAATAGGAGCACTTGTGCGGCTTTTTGGCGGCGTGATTCCGCTTGTGAGCCATCAGGTGAGAGTTGAGGCGGAAGGACTTCTCGCATTCGGTGCACGTGTAGGGGTTATCGGCGAAGTGGAGGGTTTGATGCTGGCTGAGGTTCAACCTGGAGAGGAAGCTTTCTCCGCAGTCAGCGCACTGAAACCTCTTCCCCTTTTTGTGGATTTTCTGGTGCACTTTGAGGTGAGCGTTCTGGCTGAAGCTTTTCCCACACTCTAAGCATTTATAGGGTTTCTCTCCGGTATGAATTCGCTGGTGGATGATGAGATGCAAGGCGGCGAGGAAGGATTTCCCGCAGTCCGGACAGGAGTGGAGTTTCCGCCGGGCGTGGATTCTCTTGTGCGCGATAAAATGGGCGTGGATCTTGAAGCTTTTCCCGCAGGCTAAGCATTTGTACGGGGCCCCTTTCACATGGACGCTCTGGTGTTTGCTGAGGTTGGTGCTGGAGCAGAAACTTTTCCCGCAGTCTGCGCACTGGAAGGGTTTCACACCCGTGTGGATGCGCTGATGGACAGTGAGGTTTGAGCGCTGGGTGAAGGTCTTCCCACAGGACAGGCATTTAAAGGGCCTCTCTCCGGTGTGGATCCGCTGATGGATGATCAGGTGTGCTTTGGCAATAAAGGACTTGCCACACTCGGGGCACTGGTGCGGCTTTTTCTCCTCGTCGTTCTCGTTGCTTGAAGCGCACGGGGAAATCGCTTTGAAGCTCCTCCCACCGTCGGAGAATTTGTAAAGATCGTTTTTCTCGAGTTTAATCAGATCGGCTCTCTGCCTGAAGCTCCACCCGCCCACCAGATAGGCGTCTTTTCCTTCGTGGAACTGCTCGTCATCGCCGGGACCATCCAGCAATTCCTCGCCCTCCCAGAAGGGGGAGCCTTCCTCCCTGTCTTGCAAGCCACTTCCTTTCTTCCTCTCAGCTCGGTACCACCCGTGCAAAATGTCATCCTGCTCCCCAAAGTGGGAAACCTTGTTTTCCAGTCTCCCCCGTTTCAGGGTCCTGTTGAAAACTTGGTCAAAACTTTCGGCGTGGGCCATCTTCTCATTAATGCACGTCCATCCTGTGCCCACAAAAAAGCCAAGAGGACAAATTGAATATGGCATCCACATAAAAAATAATAAAAAGAGGAGCAGTGTTAGCTTGGCTCCTTGTCTATCATCCCTCTATCTCTCTATCTCTCTATCTACCTACCTATCTACCTACCTTCCTACCTACCTACCTATCTATCATCTTACTATATCTATCTATATCATCTATCTCTATATCTATCATCATTCTATCATCTATCTATAATCTATCTATCTATCTATCATCTATCTATTTCCATCTATCCATTCTATCATCTATCTCTGTCTCTCTCTCATCTATATCTATCTATCTATCTATCTATCTATCTATCTATCTATCTATCTATCTATCATCTATATTTCCATCTATCATTCTATCTATCATCTATTTATTTATTTATTTATGAGATTTATATACTGCTTTAAGTGCAAGCACTCTCTAAGCGGTGTACACCAGTAAGCAATGTATACATTGCCCCCAACAATCTGGGTCCTCATTTTACCTACCCCGGAAGGATGGAAGGCTGAGTCAACCTTGAGCCGGTGAGATTTGAACTGCTGACCTGCTGAACACAGTCAGCTAAAGTGGCCTGCAGTACTGCACCCTAACTGCTGCGCCACCTCGGCTCTTATATCTATCTATCTATCTATCTATCTATCTTTCATCTATCTCTATCTATCATCTGTCCTATCATCTATTTCTATTTCCATCTATCATTCTATCTATCATCATTCTATCTATCATCTATCATTTCTATCTATCTATCTATCTATCTATCTATCTATCTATCTCTATATGTATCTCTATCATCTATCATCTATCTATAATCTCTCTATTTCCATCTATCATCATTCTATATCTATCTATCTATCTATCTATCTATCTATCTATCTATCTATCTATCTATCTATCTATCTATGTATCTACCTACCTACCTACCTACCTACCTACCTACCTACCTATCTATCTATCTATTTCCATCTATCACAATTCTCTCTCTCTCTCTCTGTCTGTCATCTATCTATCATCTTACTCTATCTATCTATCTATCTATCTATCTATCTATCTATCTATCTATCTATCTATCTATCTCTATCATCTTTCTCTATTTCCATCATCTCTCTCTCTCTCTCTCTCTCTCTCTCTCTCTCTCTCTATATATATATATATATATATATATATATATATATATATATATATATATATATATATTCAAAAGATAAAGACGAGCACCAGGAGATAAAACAATTAAATGTTTAATAAATAAATAACCTAGCTTTCGATGGCTGTATTGCTGCCATCATCATCAGGGTGTTAAAAGCCAGAGGGTGGGGGAGCTCGTTTATAGGCACAAACGCGCCTGCACACGGCTCATAGACCTCGTTATGGAGCCCGGTCGATTAATCCTCCCATCACTCATATCAGATGTATTTCTGAGTTCTAAGTTCTTGCAGCTGATTACTTCTCTATTGCGCGCGGCTCCTAAGCTGGGAGGCGAGCATTCCATGTTATTTCGCACCAGAGTAACCTGTGTAACTGCAGACCGATCCTGCGATGAAATCCCAGATCCGGCTGTCTCCCTCCCCCAGACAGCCGGATCTGGGATTTCATCGCAGGATCGGTCTGTCGTAAATGTATCTCTATCATCTATCTATAATCTATTTCCATCTATCAGCATTCTATATCTGTCTGTCTGTCTGTCTGTCTATCTCTCTCTATCTATTTATATCTATCTATCTATTTATTTCCATCTATCACAATTCTATCATCTATCTATCTGTCTCTCTCTCATCTATTTCTATTTCCATCATCATTCTATCATCATTCTATCTATCATATCTATCTATCTATCTATCTATCTATCTATCTATCTATCTATCATCTATCATCTATATTTCCATCTATCATCATTCTATCATCTATCATCTATCAATCAATCTATCTCTCATCTATCTCTATCTATCATCTATCCTATCTGTATTTATATCTATCATTCTATCATCATTCTATCTATCATCTATCATCTCTATGTATCTATCTATCTCTATATGTATCTCTATCATCTATCATCTATCTATAATCTATCTCTATTTCCATCTATCATCATTCTATATCTATCTATCTATCTATCTATCTATCTATCTATCTATCTATCTATCTATCTATTTCCATCTATCACAATTCTCTCTCTTTTTGTCTGTCTGTCATCTATCATTTTACTGTATCTATCTATCTCTCTATCTATCTATCTATCTATCTATCTATCTCTATCATTTTCTCTATTTCCATCTATCATCATTCTCTCTCTCTATATATATATATATATCATCTATCTATCTCTCACCTATCTCTCATCTATCTCTATCTCTCTATCATCTATCTATTTCCATCTATCATCATTCTCTATCATCATCTATTTCTCTCTATCTCTATGTCTATCTATATCATCTATCATCTATCTATAATTTATCTATTTCCATCTACCATCATTCTATCTCTATCTCTCTATCTCTCTATCTATCTACCACCTATCATCTATTTCCATCTATCATAATTCTGTCTGTCTGTCTGTCTGTCTGTCTGTCATCTATCTATCTATCTATCTATCTATCTATCTATCTATCTATCTATCTATCTATCTATCTTTAATTAATGTACAGGTTATCCTTGACTTACGGTCAGAATGTCTGTTGCCAAGCAAGGTGCTTGTTAAATGAGTCAGGCCAGATTTTATGATCTCTTTTATCACTGTTGTTAAGCAAATATTGCAGTTGTTAAGTGAACTAAATGGTCGTTAAACAAATCCAACTTCTCTCATCGACTGTGCTTGTTGGAAGCCAGCTGAGAAGGTAAAAAATGGGGATCACATGACCCCCAGAATGCTGCAACTGTCGTAAATGGATGCCAATTGTCAGAGTGGTCATAAATTGAGGACTACCTTCATGGTAGATAAGAGTATATGGTTCTTTCCTCTTCCCCGGTTACCTAACCGACAGGTCTCTGGCTCAGATTCTTCTAAGCAGCTTTGCACTGAGCAGAGAACTGAATCTGGATTTCCCACATTTGAGTCTACTACTCTAACTACTATACCATACTGTTCCAGTAGCTGGATAGGTAGCTCAGCAGGCAGCAACACTAAACTTCATTTCTCTAGATCAGGGGTAGGCAACCTTGGCTCTTTTATGACTCGTGGACTTCAACTCCCAGAATTCCTGAGCCAGCATGGCTCAGTTTGGAAACCTCTCCCTTTCCCCTCAGCATGGCTGGCACAGGAATTCTGGGAGTTGAAGTCCACGAGTCATAAAAGAGCCAAGATGGCCTACACCTGCCCTAGGCTATATAAATAACACTTAGAATAGCCCTTAGACCAGGGGTAGGCAACCTTGGCTCTTTTATGACTCGTGGACTTCAACTCCAAGAATTCCTGGGTGAGCATGGCTCTTCTTGGAAACCTCTCCCTTTCCCCTCAGCATGGCTGGCTCAGGAATTCTGGGAGTTGAAGTCCACGAGTAATAAAAGGGCAAAGATGGCCTACCCCTGGTCTAGGATCAAATTTTAAATGGCAAACCACACAGGGAAATCCCAGGAGTGTATATAGATTGTCTACTCTGCGTGCTAGATTATGCTAGTTCACCGCTCTAACTACAGGTAGTCCTTGACTTACAACAATTCATTTAGTGACCGTTTGAAGGTTCAACGGCATGAAAAAAGTGACTTATGACCATTTTTCACACTTGTGACCGTTGCAGCTTCTCCAGGGTCACATGATCAAAATCAGCTACTTGGCAACCAACTCAGATTTGTGACGATTGCAGAGTTCTGGTGTCACTTTTTGTGAGCTCCTGAAGGGCAAAGCCAATGGGCAAGCTGGATTCACTTAACGACTCTGCTACTAACTCAACAACTGTAGTGATTCACTTAACAACTGTGGCAAGAAAGGTCGTAACATGGGGCAAAATTCACTGAACCGCTCTCGCTTAGCAACGGAATTCTTGGGCTCAATTATGGTCGTAAGATGAGGACTACTGTATATTATGATTATATGATGACCTGCTTAACAACCAGCACCTCTTACAACTGTAATTTCTGGGCTCATTTATGGTCATAAGTTGAGGGTCTGTATCCCTGTAAAGTTTATGGGTTACTACAGAAAAAAAGTTTTTTTTTCTTTTCGAAGGGAAGGTAAAATTCATTTATTCTCACCCAAGGATCCAACATCTTTCTCCTGAATGTCCCCATCGGCCTCATTTGATGGTGACTCTTCTCCCTCGGAGAAGTCCAGCGCAATTTCTTCAATGGGTCCCAGCTCCTGGAAGGAAAGGGGAGACGTCACTTCGAGGAAAGATCTGGAAGCAGAGGCACTGAGGGGAAAGAGAAGAAAATGGAGGCTCCAAGCAGGGCGTCAAAGGACAGGAACTGAAGCTATCTTTGACCCCTGAGTCTTAGCTGGGCCACAAATCCATTTTATGATGAGCAATTCCAAGAAGCAACGGATGGAAACTAATCAAGGAGAGAAGCAACCTAGAACTAAGGAGAAACTTCCTGACAGTTAGAACAATTAACCAGTGGAACAACCTGCCTCCAGAGGTGGTGAATGCTCCAACACTGGAAGTCTTTAAGAAGAGACTGGATGGCCACTTGTCTGAAATGGTATAGGGTTTCTTGCCTGAGCAGGGGGTTGGACCAGATGAGCTCCAAGGTCCCTTCCAACTTTATTATTATTATGGATCATTGCACAGTCAGCCAGATGTTCAGACTGGATTTGGCATTTTGTCTACCTATCGAGTCCTTACCCAGGACCTGGGACAGGCAGATGTGGATGTTTGATGGTATTACAGATATCGTTGCAGGATGGAAGCAGTTCCTAGTAAGGCCGCCTTTTGCAATTGACTAATGGCAAATTTGTCAATGCCAGTGGTGTTCAAGTGGTGCTCCAGTTGTTTTGGGATTGCACCCAAGGCACCTATGACTATTGGTACTACCCTGGCTTGCTTTTGCCACAGTCTTTCTATTTCTATTTGTAGGTCTTTGTATTTTGTTATCTTCTCCAGTTCTTTCTCGTCTATTCTGCTGTCTCCAGGCACTGCCATGTCCACTATCCAGACTGTTTTGTCATTATTATTATATTATTATTATTACATGACAGGAGAAGTGATGAAACTGGGGTGCAGACTAAGATGGAGCAGGGTTGACATCTGAAGGACACCCCCACAAGTCTTTCTCCCTGAAAGTAGGGCTATATACACCAATAATTAGTAACCTAATTAAAACAGGCACCACCGTTCAGTGACCAGTTAGACCAGCTCAATCTCTATGGAGGTTCTCAATCATCCAGGTCATGGTTGTCCCAAAGGTGCTTTTTCAGGAAGCAAGTGGATTTTCTTATTTTTCTTTGAAGATGTTTCGCTTCTCATCCAAGAAGCTTCCTCAGCTCTGACTGGATGGTGGGGAATGGAAGGATTTATACTCCTTGCAGAGAGCTGGTCATTTGCATTCTTACAGAGTCGTTGAGGCCACTTGGAGGTTTATCTGTGTCCTCAGGGTCATCTGAGTGGTACAAATGGATGTGGAGCCTTCTTGGAACTTCTGAAAGGACTGTGTTGTAGACGGGAGATAGATGTTGTCATACCCTCCCTTCCCCTCATTGAGAGAAAGCTGTTCAGTCCTTCCATCTCCCCACCATCCAGTCAAGAGCTGAAGAAGCTTCTTGGATGAGAAGCGGAACGTCTTCAAAGAAAAACAAGGAAGTCCAGTTGCCGTCACTGATGCAGTTGTGTGATGTCATGCTTTATGACTGCATTGCTTAGCTATGGAAATTCCGGTCGCAATTACCGTTGTTAAGCGAGGACTACTTGTAGCTTACAACAGGAATTTCCGTTATGGGTCACACATTTTTTTTTCGAGCCGATCAAGTGTACATAAATAAAACAGGAGCAGAGTCAAAACTTACTTCTACTTTGCTTCAGCCAGCCCAGGGTGGCCAGCTGGGCCACCATAACATGTGACAACACTTTTGATACGTAGCTTAATTTTTAATCACCAACCTAATATTATATTCATTTCTTCCCAATCCATTCGTTTTCCTGGATGAGGCGGGAGGGGGCTCACCACATTAATTTATCATTTTGGGGGGTTGCATTCTCACAGGGTTTTTGAGGGCTCCTGCAAAACAGGGCTCTTATTTCAGCAAGCTGCAAAACCCCAGCCTTCATTTCACAACCATTGTACAGTACGGAACTGAACTCTTAATCCAGATGTGTAGCTTGGCGTATTGGGCGAACCGAGCCACGGCATCTTGCTGCAAAGAAGGCCCGAGGTGTCCCAAGCTCACCTGTTCTTCCCAACCCGCCTCGGCTGGTTGCCTTTGCAGGAAATCCTCGGCCAGGGACACCGCCTGGGAGCAGGTTTCCGGACCGTGTTCCCGGACCCAACTTTGCATCTCCGGGGGCAGGATGGCCAGGAACTGCTCCAGGATCAGCAGCTCTAGGATCTGCTCTTTGGAGTGTCTCTCCACCTTCAGCCAACGATGACAAAGTTTCTGGAGCTGGCAGTAGACACCCCTCGGGCCTTCAGCCTCCTGGTAACAGAACCGTCGGAAGTTCTGCCGCTGGCGCTCCCTGGCAATGGCGTCCCCCCTCAAGATGGCCGCCTTGACCTTGTCATAGTCCACCCGGTCTCTGGTGTCCAGATTGCTGAAGATCTGCTCTGCTTCCCCGCTCAGGGCAGGCAAGAGACGGGCCATCCAGTCTTCTCTGGGCCACTGGCAGGCCTGGGCCACTTGTTCAAAAGACGCCAGGAAGGCCTTGGTGTTGTCCCAGGGGGTGGGCTCGTCCAGCAACTGGGGCGTCTCCCATTCTGAGTGAGGGTACTCCAGTTTCTTCAGAAAATCCTGCCACTGGGCCTCCCACCGCTGGAGGAGCCCATCTCCAGCTTCCTGGTCTCCGGGCGGTCTTTGCAAGAACTCCCGAATGCTTCCAGGCTGAAGGAGGTGAGGAGCTTCCTCCAAGCCTTCTCCAGATGTGGAGGAATTCGCCGGCTCCTCTTCCTCCATCTTAATCCGCTGATGCATTCCTTGCTCCAGCTCGGCATGAAACCGGAGGCCGAAGCTTGACTGGGTCCCTTCCTTGGCAGCCATTTTGTCCCAAGTCTGTTTGGGCCTCATCCGTGGTCAGCCAGCCCCTTCCTTAGGAGACTTCCCAGTCCTCAGCATGGGCTGGATCAAACATATGGCCTAAGGCTGTCGATCCCTGAACAGATTCTCATGTAAGGTTGGTTGGTTAAGTGGCAGGCACGCTCCAGGCTTCCCTAGTTACGCCACTAACTCTAGTTTAGAGGGAGATAGGCCGTCTCTGCAGAGGAACTGGAAAAAAAAAAACAAAAACAAAGGAAGGAACCAGGAACGAATGGAAAAAAGGAACCACGATATTAAACAAGCTTTTACAGAACTCCCAATTCCATTTGGCACACAGATAAAACCTCACAGATGGCCCTCGACTTACAATCGTTCGTTTAGTGGCGATTTCCGAAACAGCACTGAAAAAAGTGGCTTATGATCATTTTTTTTTACACTTACAACCATTGCAGCATCTCCATCCAAATTCAGACGCTTCGCAACTGACCCCTATTTATGACGGCTGCAGCATCCCGGTGTCACGTGATCCCCTTTTGCGATCTTCGGACAAGCAAAGTCCACGGGGAAGCCCACTTAACAACCGCGTTGTTAACAACTGCAGTGATTCACTTCACAAGGCCGTAAAATGGGGCAAAACTCAACAACTGTCTCACTTCACAACAGAAATTTTGGGCTCCGTTGTGGGTCATAAGTCGAGGACTACCTGTCGTCGCTCTGAAAAAAAAAATAAAACTTTGGGGTTTGAACCCAGGAAGATTGTATAAGTCTGGAAACCCTAAATGGATAAATGCATTTGCATGCTCTCTCCGTAAATAATATTAACCACCCACTCGCCACACCATGAGCAAGTATTGACTGCATTCCGGCTTTGCTGGAGAAAATCTGATAGGCTTAAAAAAAATTGCTTGAATGTGCATAGACACATAGAGAAGGCGGGAAAACCACAATTGGAGAATCCTTTAGTGCAGGGGTGTCAAACTCAATTTCATTGAGGGCCACATCAGCATTGCGGTTGCCCTCGGGGGGGGGGGTGGCCAGGGTAGGTGCGGCCTACTGGGTGGACGTGGATGGAGTGGGTGTGGCCTGCTGGGTGGGCATGGCCAGCTCTACATCATTGACATCAAGGGTGCCTGTGGGGGGCCAGGGCAGGAGTGGGACAGATCTGAGGGTCTCTGGCAGAAGGGGGTGGGATCGGGGCAGAGCCCATCAAGCCAGATCTGTGAAGTAGGTGAGGGCCATTTCCTGGCCACTTCCAGGCGATGGTGAATTTCTTCATTTCTCACAAAGGGTGACACCTCCCCAGCATGCACCCAGGGGACTGGGCCGATGCGGCAGGGGCTGGTTCCTCGCTGTTTCCAGACGGCCTTGTGGAGCTAAGACTGAATGCGTTTCAGCATAGAAGGCCACCACAAAATTGTACATTGGCTCCTGGCCGGCCTGGGCCAGGGCCAAGGCAGTGGGGGCCGTTCCCTCACTGTTTCCAGAATGGCTTCGCGGGCCACATGAAACCACTTCGCGGGCCGCATCCGGTCCCCGGGCCTTGGGTTTGACATGTCCAGATTAGGTGAAACCTGGCTTCATAGCAGAAACTGTGTAAGGGAGTCCTAGTGGACGATCATTTAACCACGAGCCAGCAGTGTGTGACAGCAGCCAAAAATGGCAATGCAATCCTAAGTTGCATGAACAGAGAGACTGAATTAAGATCATGTGAGGTACTAATACAGCTCTATAGACCCTTGGTAAGACCACATCTGATATACTGCATCCAGTTTTGATCACCACACTATTAAAAAAAGATGTTGAAACTCAGGAAAGAGTGCAGAGAAGAACAACAAAGATGATTAGGGGCCTGGAGGCTAAAACATGTGAAGAACGATTGCAGGAACTGGGCATGGCTAGTCTAGTGAAGAGAAGGACTAGGGGGGACATGATAGCAGTGTCCCAATATTTGAGGGGCTGCCACAAAGAAGAGGGGGGGCAACCTATTTTCCAAAACACCAGAAGGCAAGGCAAGAAACAATGGATGGAAACTGATCAGGGAGAGAAGCAGCCTAGAACTAAGGAGAAATTTAATAATAATAATAATAATAATAATAATAATAATAATAATAAAAGTTGGAAGGGATCTTGGAGGTCATCAAGTCCAACCCCCTTGCTCAGGCAGGTAACATGAGAACAATCAACCAGTGGAACAGCTTTGCCTTCAGAAGTTGTGGGTGCTTCATCACTAGAGGCTTTCAAGAAGAGACTGAACAGCCACTTGTCTCAAATGGGATAGGGTCTTTTGCTTCAGCGGGGGGCTGGACTAGATGACCTCCAAGGTCCCTCCCAACTCTTGTTATTCTGTATTCTTCCTGATGCAGATACTAGGAACTTGCGATCCTTCAAATCTTGTTTGATTACATCTCTCTGAACCTGGGCAACATCAGCTGGACTGATGAGAAAAGAAATATATGACACATCATTGGTTGCCCCAAGCAGGGCAGTTAAGCAAGTTAAGCATCCAGTTTTATGACCTTTTTTGGCACAGTTAAGCGAAATCACTGCCGTTCTTAAGTGAATCACATGGTCGTTAAACGAATCTGGTTCCTCTCATTGGACTTTGCTTGTCGGAAGCCAGTTGGGAAGGTCACAGAGGGCCATCACATGACCTTGAGACACTGCAACTATCGTAAATTCACGCTGGTTGGCCAAATGCCCAAATTTTGGTCATCTGACGGTGAGGATGCCGTGACAATCATGAAGTGTAAGGAGCGGTCGTGATCATTTTTTTCAATGGCACTGTAACTCTGAATGGTTGTTAAACAAATGGTTCTAAGTTAAGGACTACCCCGCATGGGTTCAAAGTATATAGTATATGGTTTGGAGAAGATGGATTGATTATATTCAAAAGAAATATCAGACTGAAAAATATTATCTTGCTTATGAGTAATTTTTAGATTATTATTAATAGTTTAATATGATTGAATTTATATTATTTGATTTTATATTATATTATTTTTAGTATTATGGTTTAATTATATAATCATATAATAATTTTTGTTTTCAATTTGTTAATATTTATTTTGAAGAGGGGTTAAAGTATGTTATGGATTTGATTAATAGTATAGTTGGGTAATGTTATTTAGATTATGTTTGTTTATTTGTAACCCTGTAATCAGCTCTGGGAAGTGGGGGGGGGGAGGGATTGGGGATATATATTGTGTGAAATTTTTAAAACTTTTAATTAAAAAAAAATGTATATAGTATATGGTTCTTTCCTCCTCCCCAGTTTCACAACCAACAGATTCTTTCAAGGAACTTTGCCCTGAGTGGGGAATTGAATCACGATTTCCCACATCCTACTCCATCACTCTAACTAACAGAACAGCAGAGTTGAAAGGGACCTTGGAGGTCTTCTAGTCCAACCTCGTACTCAAGCAGGGAAACCCTATACCATTTCAGACAAATGGCTGTCTGGACTCTTCTTAAAAACTTCCAGTGTCAGAGCATTCACAACTTCTGGTGGAAGGTTGTTCCACTGATTAATTGTTCTCACTGTCAGAAAATTTCTCCTTAGTTCTAGGTTGCTTCTCTCCTGGATTAGTTTCCATCCGTTGCTTCTTGTCCTGCCTTCAGGTGCTTTGGAGAATAGCTTGACTCCCTCTTCTTTGAGATATTGGAACGTTGCTATCATGTCACCCCTCGTCTTTCTCTTCATTAAACTAGACATACCCAATTCCAGCCACCGTTCCTTATATGTTTTAGCCTCCAGTCTCCTAATCATCTTTGTTGCTCTTCTCTGCACTCTCTCTAGAATCTCAATGTCTTTTTTACACTGTGGCGACCAAAACTGGATGCAGTATTCCAAGTGCGGCCTTACCAAGGCATTGTAAAGTGGTATTAACTCTTCACCTAATCTTGATGCTATCCCTCTGTTAATGCAGCCCAGCACTGTGTTGGCTTTTTTGGCAGCTGCAGCAGGCTGCTGTCTTATATTTAAATGTGATTATCCACTAGGATTCCAAGATCCCTCTCAAAGTTACTATTGAGCGAGGTACCACCTGTATTATTCCTGTGCATTTGTTTTTTCTTGCCTAAATGTAGAACTTTACTTTTTTCACCACTGAATTTTATTTTGTCAGATAACGCCCATTTTTCAAGTCTGCCAAGATCCTTCTGTATCTTAAGCCTGTCTTCTGGAGTGTTGGCAATTCCTGCCAGCTTGGTGTCGTCTGCAAATTTGATGAGTTCCCCATCTATTCCCTAGTCCAAATCATTGATGAAGATGTTGAAGAGCACTGGGCCCAGAACAGAGCCCTGGGGCACCCCACTACACACTTCCCTCCATGTAGATGCAATTCCATTGAGGACCACACGCTGAGTGCAGTTGGTCAGCCAGCTACGAATCCATCTGTTGGTGACTACTATACCATACTGTCCAATAGCTGAATAGGTAGCTCAGCCGGTTGCAACCCTAGATTTCTTTTCTATAGGATCGAAAGCTAAGCAAGATCAGACTAGACCAGGGGTAGGCAACTTTGGCTCTTTTATGACTCGTGGACTTCAACTCCCAGAATTCCTGAGCCAGCCATGCTGAGGGGAAAGGGAGAGGTTTCCAAGCTGAGCCATGGCTGGCTCAGGAATTCTGGGAGTTGAAGTCCACGAGTCATAAAAGAGGCAAGGTGGCCTACCCCTGGGCTAGACACAATGGAGATGTTTAGGAAGTTGCTGTAAAAGGGCTCAAAGCATCACTCTTTGAATCTTTACTACACATTGATTGCTTATAATTTTGAATTTCACTCTGAATTTTGGAGATAAGAGTTGACATCAAGTTGTTGATGCCAACTAGCCATATGCTTAGATATTTAAAATGGCTGAATTATATTCTGATCCAAGACAGGCTGTCAACCAATTGTTAAAACAATAATCTGAAAACATTAATATTTGTACAAATCAAGGATAATTGATGGTAAATGAAATAAGAATTAAGGAAATTAAAGCTTAACAGGGACACAAGCACTGTTAATAAGCATTAATATTCAAATGTCTATGGTTTGTCAACCTTGGGCACTTTAAGACGTGTGAACTTCAATTCCCAGGTTATGTTTGCTAGAGAATTCTGGGAGTTGAAGTCCACAAGTCTTAAAATTGCTAAGTTTCCAACTGGTCTAGGCCAGGGCTTTTCAACCAGTGGTACGGGTACCACCTGTGGTACATTGGCACCTGGCAGGTGGTATGCGACCATCCTAGAAAAGTGGTAGCGGGGGAGGGGAATGAGCTGAACCGGTGGCAGCACCGCACAAGCCTGAGCAAGACTGGAGCTGCAGGGCTGTCAGGACTCAGCGGAAGCGCCAGGATCAATGCCGCTTTCCAGCTGATCGGCGCTTCTTCAGGACTGTCAGGGCTCAGTGGAAGCACCAGGATCAGCGCCAGGCTCCGGCTGGAGCCCGGTGCTGATCCTGGCGCTTCTGCTGAGCTCAGAAGAAGCGCCGATCAGCTGGAATGTTGCAGCATCTCCAGGGTCTTGTGATTTACATTGAAATGCTTGGCAACTGATTCATATTTGTGATGGTCACAGTGGCTCAGGGTCATGTGAAGTGACCAAAATCTGCTGCAACCACCCAGCAGACGGGGGGGGGGATAAAAACCAAACACCCCCCCCATCCCACCCCCGCTGCCAATCCTCAACAGAAATGCTCACAACAATGAAAACCTCGGACAGGAGGAAGAGCGCCACCGGGTGGGCAGGCAGGTGTCTTCCTCGGCTGTGGCTTGGGGGGCACAGTGCCATTGTAACTTCGAACAGTCACTAAGCGAACTGTTGTAAGTCTAGGACTACCTGTACTTTATCACTTTTTTCCTTTTGGGAGGGGGTCATCAGGTTTTTGACACCTTGCTAGGCGACTGGTGGTACTCAGATGTTGCCATATCCTAAAAGTGGTACAATGGGTGAAAAGGTTGAAAAGCCCTGGTCTAGGTGACCATCTTCCATATGAACCTTTATCATATTGCACAATTTTAATCCAGTTTCCTTGTTCCTGTTTTTCCTCTTAATGTGAAAATTCCAAATCCAAGGAAACATGCAGCATTTGGCGAAGCAAATATTTATTACATTTATTGATCAAATTTCTACACTGCTCATCACACTGCCTCTGGACAGTTTACAGATAAAAGAATAAAATGATACCAAAGCTAAAGTTAAAAACCAGATTAAAACAAAGTTAAAGGAATCATTGTAAAGTTAAAAGGCGGGGGGGGGCACCTTCAGCCCACTACCCACCTGTGGGTACACACAAATACAGGTAGTCCTTGACTTACGACCACAATTGGGCCCTACATTTATGTTGCTAAGCGAGACATTGGTCAAGTAAGTTTTGCCCCATTTTAAGACCTTGCTCGCCACAGTTGGTAAGTGAATCACTGCAGTTGTTAAGTTAGTAACACGGTTGTTAAACTAATCTAGCTTCCCCCATTGATTGCTGGTCAGAAGGTCACAAAGCAGGATCATAGGACACCAGGACAGTGCAACCGTCATAATTATGAGTCAGTTGCCAAGTGTTCATATTTGGATCACACGACCACGGGGACGTTGCGGGGGGGTTGCAGGTGTGAAAAAATGGTCGTTAAGTCCCTTTTTTTCAGTGCCGTCATAACTTTGAATGGTCACTAAATGAACTGTTGTAAGTCCAAGACCAGCTGTGCTTTTGCACAAGGATTCCACGACCTGAATGGACAGCTGCATTCTTAAAACAAAAAAGGGAACATTTTTCACCCTGTTTTCACACACACCGTGTTATGATTTATTATTATTTAAAAAACAACAATACAAAACCAACCCAGGTCTCACACACACCCCCCCAACAAAAAGTTCAGGACCGGCTTGAGAATCCCGGGAGCGAGCTGCTCAAAGAGAGCTATTTAAAAAAAAAAAAATGACCCACAATTTTTGAAATTTCCCCACAAGGCTCCCCCCAAATGCATCCCCATCCTCTGGCTTCCTTCAGCAGCTGTTCAGATAGACTGCCCCGGAATAAAGCGTCTTTTCTGGGCAGTGGGACCCTGCGACTCTCCCCTTCTCTCTTTCACCCTGTCTTAAAACTGAGGTCTAGCCACATGCCTTGCGGTTTTAAGGGGTCCTTATGCGCCCCGCTCCGCGTCGGCTGGCTTGCCTCGCTCCCCGGGGACGGTGGAAAAGGGAAGGACAGGCAGAGATGCTGCAAGGGAGGGTTCTCCGCACTACTGCCTGGGATGCTGGACAAGCTAGCCCGGTTGGATTTCTGCCTGCCCTGCATCCCTTCAAAGCCAAGCGGTGCAGAGGGAAGGCGGCCTTCCCCTTTCCCCCTTGTTGGAGCCCAGGGCTGCGCTTACCCCATTCCCTCTGCGCGCGTCGGCGGCAGCAGTAGCAGCGCCTTCTCCCATCTTCCATTCAGCAGCTCCTGCAGGAAATTAAAACAGGAAGGAACTTTTATTTTTTTTTAATATATTTTTTTTTTGGTTAAATGCCTCTAAACTCGCAGCCCTTTCATCTTCCGGAGCCCCTCTAGGAATCGCCCCTTCTTCTCCTTAACCCGTGGAGTGCCAGAGGGGAAAGAAAAAAAAAAAAAAAAGGAGCTAAGGATTTATTTATTCTTTTTCTGAGGCGGTGCTTTTCTCCTTTTTCCAGAAAAACAAAGATGCCGGAGAGGAAGGAGGAAAAAGACGTCCAGAATAAAATGGACAAGGTTGCAAAGGAAAAGGAACTGGGTTGCGGTGGCAAAATATCCTTGAGCCGGGATTTGGGACCGACAGGCTAACACTGTTTAAAAAGCAATCAGTCTTCATCAACCTTGGGCAACTTTTAAGATATGTGGACTTCAGTTCCCAGAATTCACCAACCAATGCCGGGAGTTCAAATCCATGAAGTCCAAGGGTTGCCACAAAGAAGAGGGAGTCAAGCTATTCTCCAAAGCGCCTGAAGGCAGGACAAGAAGAAACGGATGGAAACTAATCAAGGAGAGAAGCAACCTAGAACTAAGGAGAAACTTCCTGACAGTTAGAACAATTAACCAGGGGAACAACCTGCCTCCAGAAGCAGTGAATGCTCCAACACTGGAAGTTTTTAAGAAGAGACTGGACAGCCATTTGTCTGAAATGGTATAGGGTTTCCTGCCTGAGCAAGGGGTTGGACTAGATGACCTCCAAGATCCCTTCCAACTCTATTATTCTATTCTATTTCTATTCTAAATTCTAAATTATTCTAAATTCTATTCACTTTGAAGTTATTCAATTTGAGAAACACTGTTTTTAAGGTGACCAACTTTTTTACAACAAAAAGGAGGACACAAATAAATTGAAGAAAAAAATATTGTAAATAAAAGAAACATTGTATTTATTGCAACAATAATACAGAATACACTATAATATGATCAATGCATAATAAAAAACATTTGTAACAATAACATTTTACATTGTAATTATGCTTTATGTTATTATTAATTGCGAAGTCGTGTCCGACCCGTCGCGACCCCATGAACAATGTTCCTCCAGGTCTTCCTGTCCTCTACCATCTTCTGGAGTCCATTTAAATTCACACCTACTGCTTCAGTGACTCCATCCAGCCATCTCATTCTCTGTCGTCCCCTTCTTCTATTGCCCTCAATCTTTCCCAGCATTAGGCCCTTCTCCAGTGAGTCCTTCCTTCTCATTAGGTGGCCAAAGTATTTGAGTTTCAACTTCAGGATCTGGCCTTCTAAAGAGCAGTCGGGGTTGATCTCTTCTAGGACTGACCGGTTTGAACGCCTTGCAGTCCAAGGGACTCGCAGGAGTCTTCTCCAGCACCATAGTTCAAAGGCCTCAATTCTTTTGCGCTCAGCCTTTCTTATGGTCCAACTTTCACAGCCATACATTGCAACTGGGAAAACCATGGCCTGGACTATACGCACTTTTGTTGGCAGGGTGATGTCTCTGCTTTTTAGACTGCTGTTTAGATTTGCCATAGCTTTCCTCCCCAGGAGCAAGCGTCTTTTAATTTCTTGGCTGCAGTCCCCATCTGAGGTGATCTTTGAGCCCAGAAAAATAAAATCTTTCACTACCTCCATTTCTTCCCCATCTATTTGCCATGAATTGAGAGGGCCGGATGCCATGATTTGGTTTTCTTATGTTGAGTTTCAAGCCAACTTTTGCACTCTCCTTCTTCACCCGCATCAAGAGGCTCTTTAGTTCCTCTTCACTTTCTGCCATTAGAGTGGTATCATCTGCATATCTTAGGTTGTTGATATTTCTCCCGGCAATCTTAATTCCAACTTTTGATTCATCTAGCCCTGCCTTTCTCATGATGTGCTCTGCATATAAGTTAAATAGGCAGGGCGACAGTATACAGCCTTGCCGGACTCCTTTTCCAATTTTGAACCAATCAGTGGTTCCGTGTCCAGTTCTCACTGTTGCTCTTGACCCGCATATAGGTTTCTCAAGAGACAAATGAAATGGTCTGGTACTCCCATCTCTTTAAGAACTTGCCACAATTTGTTGTGATCCACACAATCAAAGGCTTTTGCATAGTCAATGAAGCAGAAGTAGATGTTTTTCTGGAACTCCCTAGCTTTCTCCATGATCCAGCGTATGTTGGCAATTTGATCTCTAGTTCCTCTGCCTCTTCGAAATCCTGCCTGTACTTCTGGTAGTTCTCGATCCACATACTGCTGGAGTCTAGCTTGTAGGATTTTAAGCATAACTTTACTAGCATGTGAAATGAGTGCAATGGTGCGATAGTTTGAACATTCTTTGGCATTGCCTTTCTTTGGAATTGGAATGTAAACTGACCTTTTCCAATCCTGTGGCCACTGTTGAGTTTTCCAAATTTGCTGGCAAATTGAGTGTAGCACTTTTACTGCATCGTCTTTTAAGATTTTGAATAGCTCAGCTGAATACTGTCACCTCCACTAGCTTTGTTGTTGCTCAGATTTTCTAAGGCCCATTTCACTTCACATTCTAGGATGTCTGGTTCGAGGTCAATGACCATCTCATTGTGGTTATCTGGGATGTTAAGCTCATTCTAGTATAGTTCTTCTGTGTAGTTTTGCCATCTCTTCTTAATCTCTTCTTCCTCTGTAGGTCATCTGCCATTTTGTCCTTTATCATGCCCCATCTTTTGCATGACACCTTCCCTTCATATCTCCAAATTTTCTTGAAAGAGATCTCTGGTCCTCCCTATTCTTTTGTTTCTTCTATTTCTTTGCACTGTTCATTTAAGAAGGTATTCTTATCTCTTCTAGCTTTCTCTGGAATTTCCTGTATTCAATTGGGTGTATCTTTCTCTTTCTCCCTTGCCTTTCGCTTCCCTTCTTTCCTCAGCTATTTGCAAAGCTTCTCAGGACAGCCTTTTGCTTTCTTGCATTTCTTTTTCTTTGGATGGTTTTAGTTGCTACCTCTTGTACATGTTGCGAACTTCCATCCATAGTTCTTTCTTCAGGCCCTCTGTCTATCAGATCCAGTTCCTTAAATCTATTTGTCACCTCTACTGTTATTCTCAGAATATGATTTAGTTCATACCTGAGTGGCCTAGTGCTTTTCCCTACTTTTTTCAATTTAAGCCTAAACTTTGCAACGAGAAGCTCATAATCTGAGCCACAGTCAGCTCCTGGTCTTGTTTTTACTGACTGTATACAGCTTCTCCATCTTTGCTGCAGAGCACATAGTCAATCTGATTTCTATGTTGACCGTCTGGTGATGTCCATGTGTAGAGCCGTCTCTTGGGTTGTTGGAAAAGAGTGTTTGTTATGACCATCGTAGTCTCTTGACAAAATTCTATCAGCCTGTGCCCTGCTTCATTTGTACTCCAAGGCCAAACTTGCCTGTTATTCCGGTTATCTTTTGGCTTTCTACCTTAGCATTCCAATCCCCCATGATGATAAGGACATCATTTTTTGGTGTTAATTCTATAAGGTGCTGTAGGGCTTCATAGAATCGGTCAATTTCACTCCTCTCATCACCATTGGTTGGGCATGATTTGGACTACTGTGATATGAATGTTTGTCCTTGGATTCGAATTGAGATCAGTCTGTCATTTTGGGGATTGTATTCCAGTATTGCTTTTTCCTATTCGTTTATTGACTATGAAGGCTACTCCATTTCTTCTGAGGATTATTCCCCAGTAATTATACCTAATGGTCATCTGAGTTAAATTCACCCGTTCCTGTCCATTTTAGTTCGCTGATTCCTAAGATGTCGATGTTCAGTCTTGTCATCTCTTTTTTTGACTACGTCTAGCTTGCCTTGATTCATGGATCTTACATTCCAGGTTCCTATGGAGAAAAAATCTTTACAGCATCGGACTTTCCTTTCACCACCAGATATATCCACAGCTGAGCGTCCTTTCGGCTTTGGCCCAGTCGCTTCATTCTTTCTGACGCTACTAGTACCAGCCCTCTGCTCTTCCCCAGTAGCATATTGGACACCTTCCGACCTGAGGGGCTCATCTTCCAGCGTCATATCTTTTTGCTTTTTAGTACTGTCCATGGGGTTTTCATGGCAAAGATACTGGAGTGGTTTGCCATTTCCTTCTCCAGTGGATCACATTTTGTCAGAACTCTCTGCTATAACCTGTCCGTCTTGAGTGGCCCTGCACGGCATAGCTTATAGTTGCATTAAGTTACGCAAGCCCCTTCGCCACGACAAGGCAGTAATCCATAAAGGGGGTAATTATGCTTACATGCCTATTAATTATTTAAATGAGTACTTTTCCATTGAATGAATATTTTTTTGTCTCATCTTCTAACAATATATTGGAAATATCTGAACAAGAAATATCCTTCATATTGAATTTTACGGCAAGTGCTACAGCTAGAGTATCAACATTCAATCTCGATTTCTCACTTGTCCAAAAATCTACCCGGCTGGACTGCGCGGGGGGTGGGCGGCGGAGGCAGGTGTTGTGAGCCAGGTGCTCCAGGACGGCCATGTAGATGCGCAGGGTGAGGTGGTGGCAGCGCAGATCAGCACTGCGTAGACCACCAGCTGGCGCAGCCCATGGAAGGTCAACTGCCTGCCGCGCCCCCGCCCACAGCCGCCCCACCAGCACCGCTGCCCTGCCATGGAGAGCCGGCCCCACGGCTCGCAAAGCACCAGCCGAGCCAGCTCCGGCCCTGAGCCGCCCCCCAGCACCACCGGCCACCCTGTGCATCCCTATAGAGCCGGCCCCATGGCTCGCAAAGGCAAAGCACTGGCTGCGCCAGCTCCGGCCCTGCAGCCACCCCCCCCCAGCTGCCCCCAGCACCACCGCCCACCCTGCGCATCCCCGTAGAGCCGGCCCCATGGCTCGCAAAGCACCAGCCGCGCTGGCTCCGACTCTGTAGCCACCCCCCAGCACCACCGCCTGCCCTGTGCATCCCCGTGTAGAACCAAACGGGGAAGATCAAGAGAAACTTACCGCTCCAGTCTCCTCCAGCTATCTGCGAAACTAAGTAAGAGATGGTGTAGTTGGGTAGCAGTGAGGGGTGCAAAGTTCCTGCAACTTGCACGTGCAAAGTTTGCCGCCTGGGTGTTTTGGCGCGCTCAGCAGCAATTCCTATTGTCTTTTGAAAGCCAATAGAGGGAGTAGCACAGCTCAGGCAAAAGTTGAAAAAAAACCATCAAAAAAAGGTCCCGGAACGCCTTCTGGGCATTCTATGAGGAAAAAAAAGCCCTGCAGATAAGTCTTCAAATATAGAAAAAGAGGACATTTAGGAGGACATTTTCGAGGGAGGACAGAACTCACAAAAGGAGGACTGTCCTCCCAAAAGGAGGACGGTATATGGAAAAGGAGGACATTTAGGAGGACACTTTTTGAGGGAGGACAGAACTCAAAAAAGGAGGACTGTCCTCCCAAAAGGAGGACGGTTGGTCACCTTACTGTTTTGCAATATGGAAGGGTTTTCTTTTAATTTAGAAGGGGAAAATAAATCCAGAATCCTTCCTTGGGTCTGATGGTTGGCTGGCGAATTCTAGAC